GGAGGGAGAGGGAGAGAGAGAGGGAGGGGGAGGGACTGAAGGCCTTTGCACTGAGCCACTTCCCAGCCTCTTTGGTACGGGCCTTGCCGAGACGCTCAGCTGCCCAGGCTGGCCTTGAGCTTGCAGTCCTGCCTCAGCCTCCCAGACTGCTCCACACGCTCAGCCCGGGTTGGCTCTTTCGAGTTGGATTTGGCCAGAAAACTGGCCAGCCTGTCAGGTGGGCTGCTGGGTCCGCAGAGCTAGCTCCTCTCCCGGGGCTTTGGATAGCACCAGCTAAGTGCTTGTCTCTTTGTCCCCCTCTTTCTGCTTCTCCTTTTCCTCCTCTTTTTCCTTCCCCTCTTCCTCCTCTTCCTTTGCCTTTGTCATTTGTTTGCAGTGCACGTTTCCTCCTCGGCGCCGCTGCCTGCGTTCCTGGTGGCTGGAGGAAGCCTGGCCTTCGGGTCTCTCCTCTGCATCGGCCTCGTCCTGAAGTGAGTGTTCCTGAGCGGGGCTCGGGCTTGTTCCTTATTTCCTCGCTAGCTTTCCTTGCCCATCTGGTCACCGGTTTTACAGAGCATCAGCTTAGTCATTTATTTGTTCACCAAGTGGACCCACACGCGGCCCCCGCTGTCCTGCTGAGCCCCGCCGCAGAGCCCCGTGAGGGCTCCCGGGAGCGGTCTGGTGAGGAGAACTGGCCAGCACCGAGGAGGAAGAGGAGCAGGAAGAGAGGCGGCCTGGGGCAGGAAGGGCAGCGGAGGGAGCTCGGCCTCTTAGCTCCTGGGCCTTCGCGCTGGCCCGGAGCTGGCCCGGCCGCAGCAGTGTCCCACGGTGTGAAGAGTGCAGCCCAATGGAGGGGCGGGGTGCTTGTGAGTTTGAGATAAAGATAAAAAGATCCCAAGGCGAGAGAGGAAGTAAAACTGTAGCAGCAAGGAAGTAAAGCTCCCACTAGCCCGGAGGGGCTCTGAGCAGGATACCGGCGAGGGATTTTAAGGGCTGGAGAGGAGGCCAGGAGCATCACAGTCTCCAGCCAACGGGAGACGGCGCGCGTGCTTTTTAGGGTCCGATCTACGCAGCGTTTAGCCCACGGCCACCTGGCCACACAGGGCAGGTCCCAGGCACAGCTGGCTGCCTGGCAGAGCCTGCTGAGGTCCCTGGACAGGAGGCCGCCGCCAACTCCACCGGGCCCCGCCCTGGCCGCTCCTGGGCTCCCAGCTCTGGCCTCACTACGGCGGCTCGGGTGAAGACGCCGCCACCGTGCCCAGGTGGTCTCGCTTTGACTCTGCCCTCCCTTCCCGGTGCGGGGACTGAAGCAGGCCCTGGGCAGCCGAGGACACTGAGCCACCCCAGCCCTTCACTCTGTCTTTCAGTGAAGTCGTGCACACCGCCCAGCGATGTGCAGCAGGACAGGCTGTGAGTGAAGGGCAGCAGCTCTTGGGAGAAAGCAGCGTTTACAGCTTTGGGCCAGAGAGAAGCCCTGTCAGCATCCACACACTTGAGCATTCTGCTTCTATTTCTTTTTCCTTTTTTTATTTTTATTTTTATTTGTATTTTTGAGACAGGGTCTCACTGTGTAGTTGAGACTGACCTGGAACTCACTGTGTAGCCCAGGCTGGTCTCGAATTCACAGCGATCCTCCTGCCTCAGCCTCCAGAGTGCTGGGATTACAGGCGTGCACCACCACGCCTGGGTTCTATTTCTTTATTTTTATTTTCTTAAAGTACTTGGGGCTGAACCTTGGGTCTTTGCACTTAGCTGCATGCTCAACCCTTTAAAAAGATTCTTTTAAAAAAAATTTAAGACAGGGTCTTACTAAATGTCCAGGTTGGGCTCAAACTTGCAGTCCTCCTGCCTCAGCCTCAGAGTGCCAGCCTGTGGGCCTGCACCAACATACTTGCGTTTTTCTTCCATGGGCCTTATGACCCACCAGAGGTCTAGAAAAGTAATTACCATTTGGCAGCTGATAAGGGGAAGGTCAAGACTCAGACCCAAAGTCACACTCTTTGAAGAGGCCTAAGCAGAATTTAAGGAAACGGCCCCAGACGTGAGATGCCGAGGCCCGGGGAGGGCAGGATGAGCACTGTCCCTAGAGCCCTGGCTCCCGGTCCTCCCTTGCTGCGGCCAGGAGCGGCCCGGCTGGTCCTGCCGTGGGTGCGGTGCCATGCCGTGTGCTGCTGACTGTGGCGGAGGCAGCAGAGGCTGGGCTGGCAGCGCCTGGACTGAGGACACCACAGTTTGCTTCCTGGCTTCCGCATGGGGCACTTCCAGTGACAGCGCCTCTGGTCTCAGGTGCCTCCCGTTGGCAGAGGGTGCAGATCTAGGGACCCTGTGGTGGCCCGGTGGTGCCAGGAGGCTGACCGGGCGGCAGCCGTGTATTCCTGCATTCTCACTTTCGGTACATTTGTTCTACAGCCCAAGCAGAGCGTTTGCCTGAATGTTTTCCCGGCAGTATCAGGAACAGTGCTTAGTTTAAAATCTGCGCCACCTTCTGCGTGGACGCTGGCCGTCCCGCCCCGCCGGCTCTCATTTTATGCTACTCAGTTCCTTTTCTCGGCGTTTGTCTAGAATGGACTCACACTGTGAGCGAGGGCTGCCTGGGAGGCCTGGGATGGAAAACTCGCCTTGCACTGGGAGGAGGGTCTCGTCCTGCAGGCCGCCACAGACTGTCCTGGGCACGGGCGGGCACCTGCGTGGTGCCCTGGGCCCAGAAGTGGCTGAGCGGGGAGGGTGCTGTGGCCGTTGCCACAGACTGTCCTGGGCACGGGCGGGCACCTGCGTGGTGCCCTGGGCCCAGAAGTGGCTGAGCGGGGAGAGTGCTCTGTGGCCTTGGGAACCTTTGTTTTTATAGCCTTTTTTTTTTTTTTTTTAAGAGTGAGAGTGTTTAAGAAAACTTGTAGCCACAGAACATTTTCTTTAAGCACAACTTTATAAAGCCTGAATATGTGAAGTAGATCAAAGGTGATGTCGAGGTATAAGGAGCCCAGTGGCCTGGCTGCCTCTCCTGCGCGCTGCCCACCCTCCTGCCGGCCGGCACACCCCTGCCGCTCCTGGGGGCTTAGTGATTTCCTGCTGGGTTTCTTCACTCCTCAGACTATTTCAGAAGGAAAGTTAGCTTTCTCAGCCACCCACCCAGTTGCCTTGCAAAACAAAACAAAACAAAACAAAACAAAAAAAACTGAGGGTAAAGATTGCTACCAAGTTATATATTTATATAGAGTAATTTGTTGAATACTGACAGAAAGAAAAGAAGAAAATCACATTACCCAAAGATGACTCCTGTTACTTTTCAAGATGTAAATGTGATTAAAGTCTAACAAACACACAGAAGAGCATGCACATAGTTAAGTGAACAGCTGAACATCCAGATACAGTGTCACACGTCTGTAACCCCAGCACTCTGGGAGGCTGAGGCAGGAGGGTGGCAAGCTCACTCACAGCCCAGGCATTAGCAAGACCCTGCCTCAAAGTAAAAAATACCAAACAGGGCCAGGGGTGTATCTCAGAGCACAGACTGGGTTCAATGCTCAGTTTCTAATAATAATAATGATAATAAATATATAGCTCCATGAATTTCTACAAAATGAACATACACACGATTAATGCCCAAATCAAGAAAACTAAATATTTAGGTGAATTTCTTCCAAGTCTTTTTCCTCTGTATAGTTTGTTTGTGTGGTTTTTTATTTGTACCAGGGATTGAACTCGGGTCCTTGGCCTTGCAAAGCAGGCAGTGGAACCACTGAGCTAAATCCCCGGCCCTGTGTTTTTTTGTTTGTTTGTTTTGTTTTGTTTTTTGGTACGGGGGATCGAACTCAGACCTTGCACTTGCGAGGCAGGTGGCTAAATCCCCGGCTCCTCTTGCTTGTTTTTATAAAGTCGTGGCTATTCTGTGTCTGTAATTTTGAAACCTACCTTTTCCGTTTAGCATTATAAAGTAAGCGTTTTTCTCACTGTTATAAACTGCAAACGTGAATAGCTGCGGACTGCTGTGAGAGACAGACCCAGCTCCCTTAGCCTGTGTCTCGCTAGTGGGCTTTCAGCTGTGGTTTTCCTCCTCGGACAGCCCTGCGCTGAGCACCTGTGCACCTGCGGTTTCTGTAAGGTGCGGGCGCCCGCAGCCGGTCTGGGGGCTCGCAATGCAGTGCTCCACCCGCTGCGGGCCTCTTTCGGGAGGGCGCGGCCGCAGTAACCGCCGCTGGGGTCTTCCTGTTTCGTGGCTGAGAGGCGAAGCCCTGAGAAACATTCTGGAGACTGTTTATCCCATCTGGGCAGCAGGCTAAGCGCCAACGGCAGGCCCGAGCCAGCTATCAATTATTTATCCTAACAAGGACAGGAATAGCCCGCTGATATAAAAGAGATCCAAGGAAAGTGCCCAGATCTTGTTTTTGACACCAGCGTCCCCCCTTCCTGGCGTGGTCGGGTTGCGGGGAAGAAGGCGATCGGACTGTGCCTGGAGACGGAGATGAGCCGCCCTCCCCAGGCGCGAGGCGCCTTCTCTGTGCCGCTGCCCCGGAGAGACAACTATGGTCTTCCTGCCGCAGCCTTCCTGGCCCCAGGCAGCGCCGGGCCGCGAGTGTGGGTGCACGAGGTTCCCCGGCTCCCTTCTTGCACCGAGGGCCTCACTCGCCTTTCCCGCGTGGAGAATACTCACTTTTTCTTTTTAAATAAAGGGATTTGCGGCTGGTGCTGGGTGCCTAGCGGACAGCCTCGGGAGGGCACAGAATTAGGGACTGTTTCAGGTGCACCTGTAAACTGCCCAATGATGCGCGCTTATCTTCCTGGGTGCTTCTGAAGGCCCAGCTCTGAGTGCTGTGGTCCCAGAGCTGAGCCAGGAGCGCCAGGCTGACGCCGCTGACGCCGCCGCCGCCCTTCGCCCAGGTCCTCCCGGAACTCACATCACTGTGGTTTCTCGGTGCCCTGTGCAGGTTCAAGAGGACGTGGAAGCCGCGGGCTCTCCAGGAGTGCAAGCCGAGCGTGCACCCGCCTCGTGCCCTGGGGCAGCCCAAGCCCACCCTCGCGCTGGCTCCTCTGCTGTCCCCGCCAGTGTCCCCCAGCAGCCTGGGGTCTGACAACACCTCGAGCCAAAGCCGGCCAGATGCCAAGGACCCACGAAGCCCTTACGACGTCAGCAACAGAGACTACTTCTTCCCCAGATAGCCGCCTGGCCTCCTGGCCGCCGGGCCAGGTGTGGAACAGGACCGTCTGCTGCCGACCGACAATCTCAGGCCACGGCTGCGTGGACACGGCGGCGGGTTTCTGCATCTGTCCAGAAGGAAGAGGTGGTTGAATTCTCAAACCTCCCTTCCCAAATGCTCTGCTAACGGGGGGTTCAGGGAACTGAGGCCAGCACACAGGGAGCCGAGGGGACACTGCGGAACTGCTGGTCACCAGGCCCAACACAGCCGAAGGGCACGCTCGCGGGCAGACAGGTCCCCAGCAGGCTGCCCACCTGCGGGCCCGGCACTGCACCACGGCTCCTCCTGGCTCGGCTCTGAAGGCCCAAGTGCCTTTGCCGCTCTGCTTTTTCTGGGCCTGTGAGGCCTTCGCGTAAACCACTGGGGGTGGGGGACTTTCCTGCCTCTCTTCCCACATTTGGAAAAGAGCCCAGGGTGGGGTGGGCTGTGGTGGGCAGTATCTCAGGGCCCCACAGCTTAAATGGAATTTGATTAGCCCTCATGGACTTAACTGCGAACGGTGCAGAGTCCCAGGCCTCTGCTGACTCCAGAATGGTCCTTGGGTCTCAAGGCTTTGGAAATAGGGGTCCTCTGTCACTACTGAGGGGATCAAGACTCTGAAACCCATATTCTCTCTCCCGGCCCACCAGAGGAGGGCTGGAACTAGGAGGGCCGCTGCCCAGTGCCAGGATTGACAGCAGAAGTTTTCACTGAGCTCCATCAACTCCGGGTTCAGCTAGGCCTGGGGTGCCAGCAGAGATCGTGTTCATGGGGGAAAACATGAAGCCAGCAAGAATGTACTTCAATTTGTTTTTTTAAATGCCATTTTCTCTTGAGACATGGGAAGACCCAGTATTCTCTGAGTGTCAGTATATAAATAGCTTGGGGTTAGGGGAAGCACAATAACTTTGTTTTTAGTACGAAACCAAGTCGAGTGAAAAGGGAGGAGGGGGAAAATATTTTCCTCTACTAGAGAAGAGATTCTGGTTTCATTCTGTATTTTGTTTTTGCCTTACAAAGTGCCAAGGCAGGCTGGCGCTCCTGGGCTGTAGGGATGACAGGTGCGGCCCCTCTGGAGGCTGGGAGACTGTGACCCTTTCCCAGCCCTGTGCCTCCTACGGTTGTGGCAGGGTCCTGCGCTCCCCACCCCAAAGCCGCAGACCCTCCTGTCAGAGGGGAAGTTCGCTTCAGAAAATCCCTTGCGTCGGCGCTTTCCCCTCCCTCTGTTCTTGGCTGGATTCTGTCCGGCTAGGACAGAAGTGCAGCAAGAGTGTGGCCACCAGGCTGACGGCCCCCTCAGCCACGCCTGTCCCGGCTGGGTGCACGCCATGGTGACAGTGGCCCCAGGCAGGTGCCACAGACGAGCTGTGATTGAAATGAGTTGTACAACCACAGGCCCCAAGTTACCAAAGCACAGGGCTCTTGTAGTAGTTTATCCTTTTAGAAAAAACATCACCACCCAACAGATGTCGCAGGCTGACAGCCGCTGCATTGCTCGGTTGTCACCGTCTCGAGGTGGTCATGACTGCCACCGGCTTTGTCAGTGTGGGACCCCGGGGCACCCCAAGGTGACCGAGTTAAGCAGCTGTCTGTGGCCTCCCCTACCCTGGCTAAGTTCCTGGGACTCTGCACTGCTGTGAAAGGGAAATGTTGGAGGTGAGGGCCTCCGTGAGAAAGGTGATTCTGTGCCCACGGTTCTTTACTTCCTGTGCATAGTTTTACCCACATGTAACTTTGCAGAGCCCCAAGAGGAAGATGCAACAATCTGGATAGCTCATTGTCTCCGGAGCCAGGCAGCTTTGATCTCTACATTGCTGTTACTTTCATTATTACTGTAACCGAACTGCCTTTTTTTCTGTGTCGAAGAGGTTTTTTCCCCTTGGTTTTATAAGCTAGTGTCGATGAAGGAAGTCTTTGCCTTCTCAGAGCCCAGGGTGTTGTCTGAGAGTTCCAGCCCCAGGCCTCCGCCTTTGCTTTCTGGGTTTCTGCAACCCGCAAGCTGCCTCATACCCTGTACCCTGCGGTCGCTCGCCTGACACCTGCAGCCGTGGGCCACACGCTAGGACACAGTTTAGACGGCCCCAGACCCGCCCGAGGATGGGAAGGCAGCTGTGTGGGTCGGGGTCTGTGCCAGCGTGACCCTTGGCTCTGGTAGCATTCAGGAGGCAGGCCAGGGGCACTTCCGGGGCAAACCTGCGGCTGTGCCCGTGTCCGCGGAGAGCCACACACACGGCCTCGGCCCCATCCCCCTGCCGCCTGGGGAGAAGGGGCATGGTCCCCACACGGGGTGCGGA